GAGTGGGGCGGCGATACCTTACGTCCTCCTACGAGGATAGCACTTTCCTGACTGCATGTATCTACGCGCAATTACGGCCTCATTCAGGGCTGGACGTCTCTGAACGCAATTACGTCCAGTTCCGTCCAGAGATCAGTCGACAAAGTCCAAGTGTATGTATCCCGCAAGTGGGACCAGAGCTCAATCGAAAAAGTCCCAAGTGCGTCGCTTATGGGGGACACGTCCCAGGAGCTCAGGTCTGTTCGGCCCGGAACTTTGGGCAGTGTTTTCGGCTGCGAATTTCTGAGCTTCCGATTGGTGTAGAAATCTTTTTTTTTTTGGGCCACTTGGCTATTACTTTTTCTCTATTAATTTTTAAAATTCAATTCGAATTGCTGATCCGCCAATGCCAACGTGGTGGGATGGGATTGGCAGAATATGGAAGCTGACACGCCACGTGGCGTTTGCATTTGCACTCTTCCCGTGCGAAGTGAGGTTGCGCAGCATGTCGGGTCGCGGAGGGGAGATTGGCGGGAAGAGACGCAGATGACCACTTCGAGCATACAGGTACAGGAATTTCCTGCACGCGTCTGACCGCAATAATTACGGGCGGTGCTGGATGTACGCGACCGCAGTTGCCTCCAGAATCAGTCGAACCGTACCGTGTGTATGTCCTCATCGCGCGCAAAGAGATAGGAGGATGAACCGGCCAAACGGATTGGACGGGGAGCTGCTGCCACGTGGCAGGTTTACAAAGAGAGGGAGAGCGGCTATCTAACGAGTAAGGAGTGCCCCGGGGTTGAATATGTCGGATAGTTAAGAAGCGATGAGTGATTTGGGATGAAGCGCCGCCACGTGGCGTGTTGATAGCGGGGGGCATAGCAGCTGTCGAGCTTCCGTGAGTGAGAATAGCTTCTGAGAGGACAGACCGTCATCCGCTGTTGGGAGCAAGAGACTGAGTTGCGGCCAGCAGGGAGGCTTTCTAACCAGCACCCTGGGGGGCCATCAGGCAAGGAATGAGAGAAGCCAAGCACGTGGGTGTGAGGAGCGAGCGCCTGCCACGTGGCGCCTTGTAAGCGAGAGGGCGAGCTGCCGTCGAGCGATCGCGCGGGAGAAGAGGTGAGCGAGGACGAACCATTGCTGCACGTCCTGAAGGGTGACCTGCGGTCAGCAGGAAAGCTTTCGGAGAACAAGCACCCGGGGGGGTGGGCAATCAGACGAGGAGATTAGACCAGCCACGTGGATCTGAGGGGGGAGCTGCTGCCACGTGACGTGTTCAGAAGGAGAAGAAGAGCGGCCTTCTGACGGCTGTCCGCCATGGTTGTCACGGTGGATTTAAGGCCGGGTGTCGGCCTTGGACCCTTCACACTAGGTGAGAGGAGATAAGCGATCTACTCTATCCATCGTTTCACCCGCTTTTTGTTAACTAGATAACCGGTTAGTTCACCCATCCATAGACTAATTAGTCAGTAGATTCAATGACCAACCAATCAGTCAATGAATCGATTCCATTCATCCATCCCATCCATCTATCACATCTATCCATCCAATCATTCAATCATCCTTCCACCCATCCAGCCATCAATCCATCAATCAATCAATCAATCAATCAATCAATCAATCAATCGCTTAGTGTTTCCTATGATGCGTGCTGATTTGCTTGATGGGTTGATGGATGGATGGATGGATGGACGGACGGGTGAAGGTTCGGTGAGTGGACGGAGTTGTGAATCTTTGATGCTGTCGGATTTTGTTGGTGTCTCGTCTTAATCTGAATCATTCGTCGCTCGACAGGTAGAGGAAGGAGGTCGTGCCAGTGGGAAGTAGTGTGTTCCATGGTGTACTTGCGCGCGTATTCGCGCCATGGATCGAAAGGAGCGGAATGGGAAACGCGGTGGATCTTCCCCTTGGTCGATTAGTATGTCTGGCCTCCACCTCCACCTGTGGACTCTTGGACTTGCCGAGAAGGGAAGATAGGGAAAAGCAGGGAGAAAGGGAAGGGTAGTGTGAATTACCTTGGGGGGGAGGGGGGCGAGGATGTGCTCGCACGAGCTTCGCCAGTGTGTCGCCTACTGCTACCGTCTTCCCCCGAATAGAACGCACGGTCATTATACCTGTTTCTTTTTTTTGGTCAGTAAAGCTGGATTTTTTGGGGAACTTCCCAGTGTAGAAACGGCGGCAATGACCGTGCGTTCTCTTCCGGAGAGGACGGTAGAGTGGAGAAGAGATCAGCCAACCAGATGACAGCAGAAGCGGAAAAGGAAGGTGGCCCCCGGGGGGGGGGGCGGGGGGGCTGGAAGAGGGGAGCGGGTCTACGTAGGAAAGAGGAGGATGGGCTCAAGAACGCATCCACTGATCGGTGACTGTCAAGAGGCAGAGCGAATCTTTCATCTCTTTTTTTTCAATTACTATTACTTAGTATTTTTTGGGCTTGTGCATATGATGCTTTGCTGAAATGTTGTGCTCTCATTCGCTTGGGGTAATTATGATTTCGGGAAAAAGAAAGAACGAATTCAGCCTTTCTGCAGAACGTGTGCTGCGCCGCAAGCAGTAACAGGCGCTTTTATATTGCGCAGCAGACGTTCCACAGAAGGCGCCGGATGGGACAGGGCGCCTGTTACATGTGCCAGGCCAACGGAGAGGGGGGGGGGGGGGGGGGGGGGGGAAGGGSAAAAGCGCATGTCACAGGCGCGTCTTTGGTGTTCGGTACACGAAGAAGGCCATTGGGGGGTGCGCATCAGAATGCTACTCACCGAAGCAAAAGGACTAAGAGGAGAGGGGAGGGAGGGGGGTAGGGGGCTACCTAGGGAGGTTGGGGAAGGGAGCGGGAGAACAGTGAGGAGGAGAGGGAGGAAGGGGTGAAGGGGAAGGGGAAGATAGTAAAATTGGACGACGCAGATACAGTAAATAGGTAATCTTTTACGCACAATTCTAATATTTTTTGCGCACGACGCTTGACTCGCTTTGTGTTTGATGTAAGATGTGATAAGATGAGCAGCCCTCCAGTAATAAGTTGGTTGAGAAAAATAAAAAGGCAAGATCAGATAAGACATTATGAGCAATATGTGGACTCAAATACAGTAAATACTGTACTGTTATGCGCACAATTCTAATGTTTTTTTGCGCATCGTTGTAGTATTTTTCGCGCACAACGCTTGACCCGTTGATTAAGGTGATGATGATTATGGGGATGAGAAAGTGCGGGATTGCCTCAACTCAACTGATGTCGTCATCATCATCGTCATCATCCTCGTTGATTAAGATGATGATGATTATGAAGATGAGAAAGTGCGGGACTGCCTCAACTAAACTGATGTCGTCATCATTGTCGTCATCATCCTCATCATCCTCATCATCCTCATCATCCTCATCATCGTCATGATGATGATGATGTTGATGATGATGATGATGATGACGATCAAGTGTAGGATTGCCTCTCCTAAATTGGTATCATCTCCATCATCATCGTCATCATCAAATGAAAAGAAGAGAAATGAAAAGAGAAGAAATGAATTGATTGGTGATTACCCCCCCTGCGATTGCAAATTTTTCATAATTGGAATTGCAAATAAACGGTATCGAATCCGACGACGCAGACACGATGTTGTGCGCCAGGCGATCAAGAAATTCCTAAGAAAAAAATTAGTATCGGTAAATGAAAGACGGGTAAATTATACGGGGCGGGGAATATCAGAAAAACTGCATTGCTAGTTTAGATGGGTAAACTATAAGAAGGAAGGGGGGGGGGGGGGGGGGGGAGGGGAGCGACTTCTGCACTGGCGCGTTTGTGCTTAGTGATTTATGCTATATAGTGAATGATGGAAACCGCGATTTGTTGACGTCTCGACTATCTCCTGAATTAAGTGAGAATTATCGCCATCTCGGAAGAAAGGGCGACTTATTTTTTAATACGACGATCGAGGGTGGTGGGCGGGGGGGGGAGTAGGAGAATGTAAGGCAAGCAACAGAAACACAGTGAAAGTTGTCGGTCGATTTTAGCGGGTGAAACTCAATTAGGCAACGAATTAGTCAGGTAGGCGGTCAATCAATCAGCCTCGATCAATCGGGAAAGCCATCAGTAAAGCGAAGTGGCTGTCTCTTATACACATCTAGATGTGTATAAGAGACAGGAGTAGGAGAATGTAAGGCAAGCAACAGAAACACAGTGAAAGTTGTCGGTCGATTTTAGCGGGTGAAACTCAATTAGGCAACGAATTAGTCAGGTAGGCGGTCAATCAATCAGCCTCGATCAATCGGGAAAGCCATCAGTAAAGCGAAGTGGTGAGCAAGGAAAGTCAGTCGATTGATGACCCAACCAGTCTGTGATGTTATTGAGCGTGCGTGCGGGTAGCCAGGCCAGGGCAAAGGGAGAAGACTCATCTATCTATCTATCCATCTGTCTGTCCGTCTGTTTATCCACTGTCTGATCTATCTATCTATCTATTGATCGATCGGTCGATCGATTTCGCGGGGGGGGTGTGTGTGGAGCTATCTACTGATCGATCGATCGATTCCGCGGGGTGTTTGTTTGGAGCTATCTATTGATCGATCGATCGATTTCGCGGGCCCAACTAATTGATAGATAGATAGATAGCTAGACACACAATCGCTGCAACATACATGCATACATACATATGTCACCGATTTGCGTACGTGTGTATATGTATTTGCAAGATATGTATGCATGTATGTTGCAACTATTGTGTATCTTGCTATCTATCTATCAATTCGTGGGGCGTTTGGAAGGAAGCAATCTACTTCTGCCTGCCTATTTCAACATGTCTGTATGTTTATGCGTACGTGTGTGTATGCTACGTATCTTGTGCGTTCCTCAAAGTCGCTTAATCTCTCTCTCTCTCTCTCTCTCCTCAAAGTCTTCTATCTCTCTCTCTATCTCTCTCTATCTATCTATCTATCTATCATTTTCATGGGGCGTTTGGGCGAAAAGAAAATCAGGGGAGGGAAGCTACATCTACCTGCATCCGGGATTGTCTTTTCTTTCCTTTTGGTTGTCACACTGGGATCGGAGCTTTTTTTGATTTTTTTTGCAGACAAGAATGTTTTGACATCTCTCTTTTGTTGCCCCCTGTTCTGTTTTATTTGGCTGTTCCCTTCATCCACGTGGGTGGCCTTGTACGCAAGAGGTTCTGAACAGGGGGAGTTGTAAGGAAGAAGCTATAAAAAAACGAATTCATTCTTGTTTCTTTTTTCTTTTCGCTTTTGCGCTCTCATATCCATGTGATGATATATACTCCGACGTTGCTAGCTCTCTGCTTTTGCTGATGATGCGGCGAGCGTCGGGCCTGTACTAGCAGGCTTTGTCTTCTCTTATGGAAGAGAATATTTTTTAATCTGTTGTATGTATATTTTTTTTCCTTCTTCTCCTTAATCTTCCCTATTGTTGGGATGTTGCGTTTTGCCGGCCTACTGAATGGTTTCGTTTTTTTACTATGGATATCGTAGAATGTTTGTTTTGTGAATGAGAATCTTGTCTGCCTCGATTCCGGTTGGCCTTGTCCCGTTATTTGGTCTATCTTAGGGAGGGATGGCGGTGCTTCATGTGGGATTGGTCATCTGGTTATCGTTTTGCAGGCAAGTGTGTTTTGACATCCTGGTTGGTCTTGTCCCGTCGTTTGGCCTGTAGTTGCCGGGGGCGGTGTTTGCATGTGGGACTCGTCATCTAGGATTGTCATTTAGGATTTGTTTTAATCTTGTCTGCTTCGATTTTATTATTGGGCATCCTGGTTGGTTGTTTCCCGTTGTTCGGCCTTTTGAGCGCGGGGCGGTGCTTGTATGTGGGAATCGTCATCTGGGATTGTCTTTTCTTTCCTTTTGGTTGTCACACCTCTTTTCTTTGCCTCTTCGCCTTTTGGCTGTGTGCAAATGGGTCGATATGACACACGGGGGTGGAGGCAGCCGCCGCTCGACCTACATCCACATGGACGGCCTTGTACGCAAGAGGTTCTGAACAGGGGGAGTTGTAAGGAAGAAGATATAGTGAAAACAGTGGCCATAGACTAGTGACCTGTCTCTTTTTTCTTTTCGCTTTTGTGCTCTCATATCCATGTGATGATATATATGTGACGATATATATATATATATGTATATATCGTCACAAACAGAACTGCCCGGTAAACCGTAGGCAGAGAGAGAGAAGAGGACAACAAACGAGGGGCTGTGACGAACTGTTTCGTCGGAGTTTCACCGACTCATCAGGAGGCTGTATATATAACTCCGACGAAACAGTTTGTCACAGCCCCTCGTTTGTTGTCCTCTTCTCCCTCTCTGCCTGCGGTTTACCGGGCAGTTCTATTTGACGATATATATAAACAGTTTGTCACAGCCCCTCGTTTGTTGTCCTCTTCTCTCTCT